ATTTGAACCAAACAAATTTTAAGTTAAGGAAAATGAATACATTTATCGTTTCGACTTGGTACAAAAAATACCAGGTTACTTCAATGTCTATGTTACAATAAGTTGAATAACTTCTAACAAGGAGAGGAACTGACACATTGTTAGAGCACTGGCCTCGCAATCTGTGGGTCGTGGGTTCGAATCCCCGTCACATCATACGGTATTTTATGACAATAGTTAATAGAATACAGTATTATATGTTAGTGAGGTTATACCTTTTAGTTTTAGGAGTAACATTAGAATGCATACCTTTTGCTCAGCGGTGGCCGTTAGGTGGTGAAGCCTATTAGTCATATTTGACAAAGACTGTTCAAAAGCTGCTACCATATGGGCCTGAAAGATGCAAAATATTGTGAAGAATAAATACTAATAACTGCAAAAATATTCTGAGATCACAGTTTGTCGCGAACAAGGGATTTTTAATTTCTTTCATAAACAGGATAAAAACATAAAACTGTCTTGAACATTACAGATTTCTATGCAAGATGTAATTAACGTATGTTCGCTTTTATTTTTGTCTAAGACAAAAAAGTCGAAGTGATAATATTTCTTTTGCAATCATTATTAAGTATTGTAGCACTTAACAGAAGGGATCGGCAAGGCTTCCAAATAATTCCCGAGCCGAAAACCACCCTATTGAACTCCTATGCGAAAAATCGACCATTCAAAGTATTGGTTATGATATATTATGCGCATATATACTAATAATACCCTGAAAAGGTCACTAACATTTCCGGTATAACAATTTAAAAATTTCTAAAACAGCTACTTTTTCGTCTACTACCTACCTACCTACTTGATCACGTCAGTGGAGCTATCTCCTAGACGGCTCAGACTATCGCTACAAGATTTCCCCAGCTTACTTGACTGGTCTGTGGGTATCCGCTTTTTATTTTCCGATAAATATATACAGATTTTTTTTTATAAATGGTAACCATATCACGCACGTATTTAAATATCTTTTCAACCCAACAGATGACTCTACATATCGATGGATAGACACGCGACAGTTTCTAAAGTATATACTTTATACATGTATAACATAAAAATTGTACATAAAAAAGAGAATTAAAAATTATGAATTTTAAAATGAAATAGGGATCCTGCTACAAAAAGTAATGAAACAGGAATTAATACCAAAATCACAAATTTATAAAAATTAATCCCTACTTTGGCAGTTTTATACACTTATCTGTAGGTCAAAGTAAGGGTCCCATTTTATAAACTTGTGATTGTGGTTTTAATTCTTGTAAAAGTTATAGTTATCAGGGATATGGCTATATCTTAAGTTTATAGATGTTGTGACATTACCGTGGACATATAAAAACTGAAGAAATAAATAAGAAAAAATTAAAATTTCAACGGAAAACAGGGATCGTAGTATCTCTTTACTTGTTTGTGTACTTTTTATTGCAGCATTTAGTTTGTTTTTGAAAACTTCTTATAGCAATTCTACGAATGACCAATCGACTTTCCATTAAAATTTTAAT